TCTCCTGACCTCGTGATCCGCCCGTCTCGGCCTCCCAAAGTGCTGGGATTACAGGCTTGAGCCACTGCGCCCGGCCGAGATGTTATTTTTAATGTTTTTGATTTTGGGGTTTTTTTTTTTTGGTTGTTTGTTTGTTTGTTTTTTTGAGACAGGGTCTCACTCTGTGGCCCAGGCTGGAGGGCAGTGGCACCATCATGGCTCACTGTAGCCTCGACCTCCCAAGGCTCAGGTGATCCTCCTGCCTCAGCTGCCCATTCCCCTGCCATCAAGTAGCTGGGACTGCAGGCGTGCACCACCACGTCTGGCTAATTTTTTTATTTTTAGTAGAGACGGGGTTTTACCATGTTGGCCAGGCTAGTCTCCAACTCCTGAACTCCAAACGGCTAATGTTTGTGTTTCTAATAGAGACAGGGTTTCGCCATGTTGCCCAGCCTGGTCTCAAACTCCTGGGCTCAAATGATCCACCTCGGCCTCCCAAAGTGCTGGGATTACAGGTGTGAGCCCCTGCACCTGGCCTTTTTAGTTTTTTTTATTTATTTTCTTTGAGACGGAATCTCACTCTGTTGCCTGGGCTGGAGTGCAATGGCGTGATCTTGGCTCACTGAAACCTCCACCTCCTGGGTTCAAGCAGTTCTCTTGCCTCAGCCTCCTGAGTAGCTGGGATTACAGGTGCCTGCCACCACGCCTGGCTAATTTTTGTATTTTTTAGTAGAGATGGGGTTTTACCACGTTGGCCAGGCTGGTCTCTAACTCCTGACCTCCAAACAGCTAATTTTTGTATTTTTAGTAGAGATGGGGTTTGCCATGTTGTCCAGGCTGGTCTTGAACTCCTGGGCTCAAATGATCCGCCTGCCTTGGCATCCCAAAGTGTTGGGATTACAGGCGTGAGCCACTGCACCTGGCCGTTTGCAGTGTTTTTAACCAAAGAATTTGTAGAGTTGCCCAGACCAGGAATCCTGGTGGCTCTAAAGGGTAATCTACCTTGTCAGTAACAGACAGTGGGGGTGGTAGGAGGACATTACTCATACTGAAGATGAAGACCAGACTTTGCTGCTTCACAGGCCATGCCGGGGGTTGGGCCACTTCAGCTCCACTCCATTCGTTTTCCTTTCCTAACTTGACAATCAGTGAGCTCCTTCACCCTCCCTTAGTGCCTACTCCTGTCACTCCAATGTCAACCCATTGGGAATTGAGGCCTGCATGTGGGCTGTTACTTTGCGTCATACAGATGCTGTAAGAGGCCTTGCTGGAATGTCCTAGGAATCCCTAGTAGCAGTGGCTACTAGTCTTCTAGAAAAGAACTATTGCCGCTGCCTTGTGCACATGCCCCACCTTCTGGGAAAGTGGCAGCATTGCGTTCATGAGGGGCTTTGCATTCTCAGCCAAGGGCAATAAACTTGGGTGGGTGATCTGGCCCAAACTTGCCCCTAGACTCGGCTAGCCCTGAATCAGCAGGCTTGAGAGAGGAGGGTGGGTGTTATAAAAGCCAGTCTGTGAAGGGTAAATTCCAAATCTTGTGCCTTGTTATACCAATCCTTTCTGATTCCCTTTTAAACCAACTACTCTTATTTTTGTGCTGCCTACATTTTCAATCCTCCCAAGCATTAGCAAATTCCTGAAATTTCCTCATTTGGTAGGCCTTCCATAGGAGTCAGCTATGGACTTCTATAGGAGTTGGCAGCTAAAACCAGACTGAGCTTCTTCCTTCCTTCTGATCTTTGCTGCACCTCCCAGGGGACGGTCCCCACATGACTATACAAAAGCCAGGTACCCTCATCACCCCGGTTACCCCTGACCTGATTGTTTTGAATAAACTTTCATTCTCCAAGCAGATCCCCAAATTTCCTTGTCCTTGTTACACATCTACCTCACAATCTCACAATTAAACAAGGACATATTCACCTATTTCTTTACTGTCTTCTCTATGAGGGTTGGGAAGGTGGGGGCTAGAAAAGGCTCATAATTTTTAAACTCTTGGGAATTTCTATTCCTACAATGTTTTCTCTGGGATTTTTAGCTCACTGATCACCCTAGAACAGTGTGAACTCTCCAGATAGGTCCTGCTGTGATAAGCCAGGGGAGTAGGCTGTGCAGTGACTGCTTAGGGTAGTAAGTAATTGTTGGAGGACACCAGCATAGGAACAGAACTTAGAACTTAAGAGGACAAGAAAGCTGCTCGGTGGCTGGTGTATAGCTGTAAAGGTAACCAAATACCAAAGAGGGAGTCTGTCATTTTCATAAGGCTGGAAGCGAATGTTCCTTCTCTATCTTAACATACAGTTTAGGGGGTTCACCAAGACAAAGTTTCCAGGCTGGAGGGTAATACTTTTCCAGCCTCAGTGAAGCCCCCACTCCAACATATACCCTTTCTGGGTGGGTGAATACTTCTTTGCATGTGGACAGAAAATGTTTAATTTATACTTAAACACATTTTATGCATTTTTATCTGGAGACTTCTAGTTTTATACTCTTCCCACATCTATGCCAATGCCATCATTCTAACTTATGCTTCTTTTCTACCCCGGTCTTTTCCTTGTCCTTCCCTACAACTTGGTAGAGGTCCATTTTGTCTTACTTCACATTTTTTTTTTTTTTTTAATAAAACACAAAAGTCTACATTTTGGTGTCTTATCCGTGAGTGGAAAGTGGTAAGCTGGTGATGGTCCCACATTTGCTATGACAGAAACATAGTTAGGAAGCTGGGGCCACATCTCACAAGGCAGGACCTGGATACACTGAATCCCACTTTGCTCCAGCCCAGCAACTCAGCCAGACATTTAGGCAAGAGCACTAATAACCCTTTCCATCCACACAGAGGTGTGGAACAGGAGTCCAGCTTTTAGTACCGTTTGCACAGAAAAGGCGAACATGTTGTTCCCCTGCCTGTGGTCTCTTAAGCCAGTCATGACCATCCCAATGCCGTCTCCCCCTCAGGTGTACACGTAGAAGGGAAGATGAATACACAGAGTCTTTTGAATCTCTATCAAATGTGGTTTTTTTTATTCAACTGACAAGCACTTTTCTACAGCTGCACTTGTGGAACATCACATGGCAAAAACAGGAGTTTTTTCGCTAGACTTTTTTTTCTTTTTAACCTTATTAAAAATGAGATTGGTCCTAAAAATATAGAAAGAAATAAATTTAAATTCACAAAAAACTGTACATTATCAAAAAGTCACTAAAACACCACATTTGGTTATATAAAAAGTCCCTTTTGCTGTAAAAGGAACACGGAAACTTGTTGGTGTTGATGGTGTGGTTTCTTCCTGTCAACCAGACTGATGGAGGGGAAGCAAAAGGGCAGGGGGTGGGTTGTCTTTTTATCTTAAACCTGCTTTCCCTACCAAATACTCTTGTCATGAGAGAAAATCCACCTAGCTCAAGGGGGCAGTGAAGATGAGGAAAGAAAAGCAAGAAATGGCCCCTTTGATTATGCCCTATCCCTACCCCTACCCCACCCCGCTCCAGCCCCCACTTCTTCAAACTGAGGCTAGGACCCCACCCCGCCATATGAGTGCCTGGTCCCTAGGGAAAGAGATGGAGCTGGGAAAGGAACACAAAGCAGGAACCATGGAGATTTCACTCCCCCATCCACCTCACCTCCAACAATGAAATTAATCTAGTACATCTTATACCAGGGGAAAACTGCCAGGGGGAAAAAGCGGAGCCCCCAACTCTAACAGTTTCAACTGTCTAACACAAAGTTTGTTACAGCGCAGTTATTTAGATAAAATATAAATATTTATGCATAATATAAAGTCAATTCAAATATTCTTCAATCCACCTCTTATTTAAAAGCAAAAAAAAAATCTCAAATAAAATTAAAAGTTTTGAGGTTTATCTGACAGAAAAGGCGACTTTAGAAATAGGCTATGGGGGAGAAGGGGCATAAAGGAATAAAGGGGCTGCCCCAGGACCTACACTGCCCCTGCCCCCTTCAGTGGCTCTTCAGTGCTGCCAGAATACAAGGAATGCTCCACCTCACCTGGCACCCCTACCCCCAATGGAACATTTCTTGGATGCCTCAGCTCTCTGCTTGGGCCAGCCAGCAGCCACCTCCCCAGTGCAAGTACCCGTAATCTCTGAAGGGAGGGGCTCTGCTGAGCAGGAGAAGCAGGGGGCCAAGGGCCCATGGCTATAGCTGGGAGTCAGCAGCTTTCCTCTCATGTTGGGGGTTAACTTGGACACAGTCACATGTAGGGCAGTGATGGACCCAGAACCCCTCCTCCCTACTCTCCTGTGCTCCAGGGTCTCTGCTGCTGGGGAAGGGGTCCTGGAGTATGAAGTGAAGAAAAGCACAACTAAATGGGATAAGGAAAAGATCCAGTTCTACCACTCTCCCGTAGAAGCTTAAGATTCAAAACTACTGAGAGGAGAGGGAGTTCCTGCTGAAAGATTGCACAGTCTGAAGAGGCTGGAACAAAAATGACCAGGAGAGAGACACAGCCTTGTCTCCAGAGAAATTGTTCCTGTGGTTTCCCAAAGACAAAAAAGTGATGGTTTTAAACAATGGGAAAAATGGGAATGAAAACAGATACTTGGGGAAACTGAATGGATCCTATCAAACAATACAGGGTCACAAGCACAGCATCTTCTCTCTCACACACACACACACACACACACACACACACCGTGCTCTCTCTCTGAGGCCGGCCCCATTGCTACCTGGCCTCCATCTTGGGGTGCACCCAAACTCAGCAGTAGTTGTCCCTGAGGAGTTCCCAAGAGGGTTTGGGAAGGAGGTGGGGAAGGAGGCTGGAAGGCCCAGGAGGCCTCCCTGCCCTCTCCCCAGCTACTGAGTTTCAGAAAAGGCTGGAAACTCAGCATGTGAGGAGCATCCAACGTCATACAGGGGATAGCTATCGGCAGGAAGATGGGGACAGAGAAAAAGACAGGGACCTCTGAACGTTTTTTTTTCCTTTGAAGGGAAAAGATTTGGGAGAAGAGAAAAGGAGGGAGGAACCCGTACACGATAGTTTTACATTATTGGATAAGAGAAAATCTGAAAACTGGGGGGTGGGAGGTGGGAAAAGAAAAACAGACCGCGAAAAGCAAGGAAGGGACTGAACATGGAAGCAGCATGTCCAGGGCCCGGTGTCCGGCGCGACACACTTGGGAGTTAAGTCCACTTTACTGGCCGTCACTGCGGGTCCGCACACAGTACAGAGTGTTTCTTGGTTTCACACATTCACTAGAACTATTGCTATTGTTAAATAACCCCAGAATGCTGGGGCACGTACAGGGGAGGAGAGGAAGCAGGGAGGAGGAAGTAGGGACTTCTTTCCCCGTCCCCATTTTTAATTAGCAAATAAAACAGAAAAGAAAAATTTTTTTTCTTTCTTTTTTTGGCTTTTAGTCCAGAAGGACCTCATCTCTGCACCTCTTATTTGAGGAGCAAGAGGAGGAAAGGGAGAAAGGGATATAGGAATAAGAGGATGTGGGGTGCTGCCAAGGGCAAGGTCAAAAATCAGGGTTGTATCTGACTTGAGTCTGGACCCAGGGCAGCATCAGCAGGTGAAAATGGCAGGTTTTTTGTTTGGAAGGTGGGGGGGAGATGCCACAAGGTGACTCCCCACCTCCCTTGCCTCACAGATTGGCCTGTTTTCCCTGATAAAACTCCTCCCAGCGGCTCTCGAAGAAGCGGCGCATGATGTGCCCAGCCTTGCCTACTTCAGAGTCATCCTCGTTGAAGGTCTGGCAGTTGTCAAATACCAAGAGGGCATCAGCCGCAAACTCCTCTGAGCTGGTGTACCTGGACAGGGCAGGGGCAAAGCTGTGAGCTGGGTAGGAGTTGCAGCAGTAGCAAATACCAGGCGGATGCACCCACATCTACTTACCCTCCCCTGAGCAGCCGCTCCCGCATGGTGGAAAAATCCATAGGATTTTTGATGATGCGCCGGTACCCACTCACCAAACGTGGGTTCACAGGCTCTAGGAAAGGCCAGGCTGCATCATGGGACTCCATCTCCATCAGGATAATCCTATCATTACAGGGACAGTGATGGCTCCATCTCAGAAAGCAAATATACTGACCCCTCCCAGCCCTTTCCTCTGGCAGAGGTAGGGCCAACTGTCCCCCCAGGATTCACTCAACTCACTCGCAAAATGTGAGATCACTGTGGTGGTTCCGCATTGAGAGTCGCCGCCGCTTGGAGGGGGACTGCCCCTCTTCTGAGTACCGAGGCCCTGCTGCTGGGCTTTCTCGACCCCTCAACAGTACCCGGCGTCGGCGGCCATCACCCTCTGAGAAGTTCAGCGAATAAGCACTTTTCCGCTTCTGGCCTCGCTTTGGGAAACCAGGCTTCTGAGTGAATTCTCCCTCTACCTGCTTAGTATAGGAAACAAGTGAGATTAGCAACAGCTGGAGACGCACTGCTTGCCCTACTACAAGCTCTGCCTAAATGTGATTTAAGGCTTCAAAATACTATCATGCATAAGCCGGCACTGGTTTATTCACATAACCCAATGAAGTAGGTAAAAGGGAAGATACAGTTATTATCATTTTATAGAGAAAGCAATTAAAGCTATAGAATTTAAGTGACTTGTCCAAAAAAGGACTTAGAACCCAGCTCCCCTAATACCCAGTCTGGGACTCTTTCCAAGAAGACGAGAGATTGAGCATAATCTCTGATTTCTGTTTGAGTGTGGGAAAGAAAGAGCAGAAGCCTCACCTGAGCCAAACAGACAGTACAAAACCAATCTCCTTCTGGGACAGCCTCCATCTTGGGACGATGGCAGTAAATGTGGCAGCCACGGTCACACCCATCACAAAGCAGAAGAAACTCATCATTGTCACCCTTCCGGCAGACTAGACACGTCTGGACCAAGGTTGTGAGGAGGCAGAATGAGCTCTCAAGCCTCTACCTGCCAGTGACCCCACCCGCCCCTGCTGGCTGGCCCCTCAGCCTTTCCAGGCTCTCTCAGCCTCTTACCACTTTGTTGACAGACTTCTCCCAGGCAATGGACCTCTCCAGCTGGCCCAGGCACAAGCACACCTGGGCTGCGCTCCGGCACCGCTCGAGGGTCTGGCGCCAGACACGAATGCGAGGGGTGATCTCGTATGATCTGGAGGGAGAAAGTGGTGATCTTTGGATGAGGAGCAGGATCCACTAAAGAGGAAACTTATCCCTTTCTCTCCAAGACCAAGAATGGAGGGTGGGAGTCACTCACATCTCTGTAGTGGTGCCCTCAGGGGCACCATTAGGTGTGCTAAGCAGGGCCTTCTCCAGCACAACCTCATGAGTTGGCCAGAGGGGCTCCCGCAGGTACCGCCGTTCTACATTCTGTTCCAGGGCAGCCAGCCGCATCACAGCCAGGTCCAAAGGGTTGGTAGTTTTACGCTGAGGTGCCAGTCCTTCCCTGCCTCGACCTCGCCAGGTGATATCCTCCTGGGAGCTGGAGAGGTGCTCACAGTAGGCCAAGTCTTCACGGGTAGAGTCCGGGCTAGGACATGTCCAGCCCTTGAGTTAAGAGAGAGGAATAAAACTCACTGTAAAAGGAGGAAAATTTGGCATAGGAAAAAACCAAAACAAACAACAACAAAAAAAACATGACCCACTTAAGGTAGGTCACCTGTGAAGTGTTTTTTCTAACAGGGCATAAGGGACTAATGCTTTTCCCTAAACAACTTCCTACACAGTGCCAATCCCACCATACCCGAATCTGCAGATCAGACATGATAACCCGCTGCTCCAGATCCTCGACCCATTGAAGCACTGCTAGGTCTGTCTCATACGTCTTCTCTTTGGGGGACCAGCTCATCATGCCTTCTTGAAAGACAGGTAGTTGCCTGGGCTCAAAGATGGGGTCTGAGAAGAGAGGTGGCAGAGGGAGAGGCCCATCAGGCTGTTGTCCACAGCAGCAGCTCAGTGCTTACCCTGGGCTCTTCAGCTCAAGCTGGGTGTAGGAGTGTATTTACCAGCTGAGGGCCGTAGGCAGACTTCCTGCAAGAAGTCCCTGTGCTTGTTAAGGTGTTTGTGAAGTGCCTTCTCCCGGATACCTCGGGGATGTAGGGCCTTGAGCATGGCATCCAACGTTTCAGGATCTCGTATCCACCACCAGCCTGAGCACATCTCTGTGAGCGGATGAAATATATGTGGGGTGCCAGCTGTGAAGCACTGCTCACACTGGATACCCCCACTCCACTCTCACTCCAAGATCACTCACCAGGTGGGACAGGCTGGGCTGTCAGCTGGGTTAGGTAACGCTGTTCCATTTGTTTGAAGAACTTACTGGGAGGTCTCCCTCTCCGTTTGGGCTGTCCCAGCCCTGTGGGACTCTGTGGCATTTCTCCAGGGTCTCCTGCTCGCCTCTTAGGGGCCAACCCAGCCAAGGGCGTGGAAGAGAACTGCACTGGAGAACAAGGGTTGGCAGCACTGGGTCTATTCATCTGTGAATAAAATGAGACATAAGGATGTTTTCATGTTTATAGGTTGCCTCAACTTCAGGCAGCAGCTCCAAACCCAGGCAATGGTGCCTGTGGCAAGATGAAATCAAGTGCATACTACTAATTCTGGCTACTTACTGGCTTGGAGGAGGCAAGCTGCTGAGGGGAGGGAGTGGGTTGGTCCTCAGAAACGGCAGGGGGTGGTGTAGGGGCAGCATTGCAGGGCATCTGGGCTGAGATGTTAAACCAGAGTGCTTGAGGATCAGGGCTGGATTCTGCCTCATCAGGCTCTGGCTCCTCCAGGGGCTGTGATGGAGCTGGGTCTAGTTTTCCAGGACTGCTATCAGGCGTGAGGACTGAGCTGCTCAACAGGGAGCTATGGCTCTGAGTCTGGCTCAGCCAAGACAGGAAGGCTGACTGGCTGAGGTCATGCTGGCTCTGACCCAGTGACAAAGGGGAGCCTTCTTGCTCCAGGAACCCCTTATGGGACTGAGGATGGGACTGAAGCTGAAGCTGAAGCTGAGGCTGGGGCTGGGCAGGAGCATGAAGCTGAGCCTCAGGCTGAAGCTGGGCCTGGGGCTGTTCTGAATCCTGACCCCTGACAGGGGACTTAAGGTGCCTAGGTTGCATAGACCCAGGCTTAGTTTTTCGAGGTCGGCCTCGGGCCCGGGCAGGAGAACTGGCAGTGGTGTTGGAGCCAGCTAACTCCATCTTCATAGAGAAGAGGGCAGGGTTGAGTGACGTATGGGCTGCCACTTTTAAGGAGTCAGTTTCCTTCTTTATCACATCCTCAGGAACTGTAAAGAGAAGTAAAGAGCTTAAGACATATGCTGACATACAAGGGAAAAGTAAAAGGGTGTATAAACTTAGGACCTATGCTTTCTTTTTCTCTTGGACTTAGCCCCCCTTTTTTGAGATTCCACTGGGAAGAGCTTACATACCAATGAACACAGTATCTGGGGAAGAAACACTATTCTCCCAAGTAATCAGCAGCAGCAGCACAATCATAAGCTAACGTTTATTGCAAACCAACTATAGGTTAAGTATTATTCTAAGAGACTTAACTCATTTTAATCCTCTCAGTAGCCTCATGAAGTACAAATACTATTATTATCTCAACTTCACAAATGAAGAAACAGAAATATACAACTGGAAATGGCAGAGCAGGTGGGTAGGCAGCTTTACTCTAAAATCTGTGCTCTTAACCATTACACCATATTATCAGAAAATGAAAGAAGCCCAAGACTACTAAGGAAAAGGAATTATTTAATTCTTGTTTGATAGGACTCAGAATCCACACTCCCACAGACACACCTACCTAAGTTCCCCTCTGTTCCTTCTACAAAGATACCAGCCAAATATGGCAATACCCAGTAGCGACGTCTGTAGCGGTCTTGACCCAGGGAGACCGCCCGAAGCATCTGGGATGAGTGAAGCAGCTTTTTGCGAAAGAAAAGCTGACGCTGGGTAGACAATGAAAATGAAGATGAATAAACGCATTTCTAGAGTGACAGTGGTGAATTCATCCAGTATATCGGAGAAAGGCTATGGCTCTCAGCCCCTCTATAAAAGTGATGCCATCTGGGCCTAACTCAGAAGGTGATTAAGGTCAAGAGCGGTGGCTCACACCTGTGATCCCAGCACTTTGGGAGGTCAAGGCAGGTGGATTGCTAGAGCCCAGGAGTTCCATGTTATCAGCCTGGGTAACATGTGGAAACTCTGTCTCTATAAAAACACAAAAATTAGCCAGGCATGGTGGCTCCCGCCTATAGTCCCAGCTACTTGGGAGGATCACCTAAGCCCAGGAGGTTGAGGCTGCAGTGAGCCATGATCGTACCACTGCACTCCAGCCTGGGTAATAGAAACCCCATCTCAAAAGAATAAAAATTAAAATTAAATTTAAAAAATACGGTGATCGGCCGGGCGCGGTGGCTCAAGCCTGTAATCCCAGCACTTTGGGAGGCCGAGACGGGCGGATCATGAGGTCAGGAGATCAAGACCATCCTGACTAACACAGTGAAACCCCGTCTCTACTAAAAAATACAAAAATCTAGCAGGGCGAGGTGACGGGCGCCTGTAGTCCCAGCTACTCGGGAGGCTGAGGCAGGAGAACGGTAAACCCAGGAGGCGGAGCTTGCAGTGAGCTGAGATCCGGCCACTGCACTCCAGCCTGGGCGACAGAGTGAGACTCCGTCTCAAATTAAAAAAAAACAAAAAAACAAAAAAAAATACGGTGATCAATTCTTGCCCAGCCCATATCTCCAACTCTTGGGAGGTTAGAAGCACAATACCTTACTGAGTTTTTCTATCTGGCGCTCTAGCTCTGGGATGCTAGATGCTGTGGCATCAACCTGGGGAGAAACATGTGAGCGTTAAGAAAAAGGAGGTTATCAGATTCAAGAAAGAGGAATCTATTTTCTAACTCCCACTTTCCTTGATCTTGGGCCAGTACCTCTCCATCTCTTCGACCCCTGCGGCCATGGACAGCTGCTGTAGACTCCTCTTCTTCCTCTTCTTCCATGCCACTGGTCTCCTCCATGATCCGAGAACTGCGCCTCCGTCCCAGGCATTCCTCTGGCCCTTCCATCTCTACCTCAGACCGCCCAGTTCGCTTGGCCAGAACAGTTTTCAGTCTTAAAACAGATGGAGAAAGATGAAGGGATGGCCGAGCGCAGTGGCTCACACCTATAATTCCAGCACTTTGGGAGGCCAAGGCAGGCGGATCACCTGAGGTCAGGAGTTCGAGACCAGCCTGGCCAACATGGTGAAACCCTGTCTCTACTAAAAATACAAAAATCAGTCAGGTGTGGTGGTGGGCACCTGTAATCCCAGCTACTTGGGAGGCTGAGGCAGGAGAATCGCTTGAACATGGGAGGCAGGGATTGCAGTGAGCCGAGACTGTACTATTGCATTCCAGCCTGGGCAACAGAGCAAGACTCCATCTCAAAAAAAAAAAAAAAATTAAGGGAAACTGGTGAGGAACATGATAGTGCCACAGAAGAAATACCTGGACTCCAAACCATCCTGGGCCCTGGTAAGGTCCCAAATCCAGGGAAGGGGCTAAAGCATCACATTTCACGCCAAAACCCTGGCTATGCTTCACCCACCCCACTTCTCTCCTCTCTGGGGCTCTACCCTCTGTCTGGTCCCTACCTCCGGAGCCGACCTTCAACAATCCACTTGTTTTTCCTGTAGCTGGACATACTCTCCAGAGTCTTGTCAATCTCACTGCAGGGGAATAGGGAATAGGATGAAGTGGCAGCACAAAAAAAGGGAAAGGAGGCTCAAGGGTAAAGGGGCTGCAGCTGAAAAAGGAGTTCCAGCCTAGAAACTAGATCAGATGAATGGCAAAGGAAGGCTTAGGTTCTCCCAGGGAGGGCACTGCAATTCAGTCCCAAGTCACTCCATATCTTCAGAACATGGCAGTGAACACACATTCTGATGCAAGGCATACAATGACCATCCCCACTCCCAGCCTCTCACTTGATGATGAGGGTGGAGCCATTGAGCTCATGCACAAGGAAGGCCAGGACAGCAGCCTTCTGCTGGGGTGACTGGGCCTGAAAAGGCTGGGTGCGCAGGCGGTCACAGAGGGCTGGCTCTACTCCGTATGCCATAAGAAAGCAGCGCAGGATCTCCGACACATTGTCTCTTGTCAGTGGGATCTCAGACACCTTCTCCCCCAAGATCTTTAGGGACTGTGTGGAGGAGAGCATAATGGGAGTGAGTAGGGAAAGATGAACAACCAAGTTGGGTGAATGTGCAACAGGAAAACACACCAGAAGAGAACTATGGGGGTTAAGATAGAATACAAAAGACCACAAAAGAAAAGGAGTAAAATAAAGAAAAATAAAATGAGACAGGAATCAGGAAGAAAAAGAAATGGAAAAATATAAGGAAATGAGAAACACTAAGTAGTTATATCTCCTTTACTTGTCCTGGTTACTTTGGGAGGGACTTGCACTCACCTGACAGTAGGAGGGCAAGCCAGGATCATGGAGTGCAGCCTTCAGCAGCCTCACCAGCAGGTCTTGCACCTCACCCAAGCTGTCGCCTTGACACAGGAGTCCCTCCTGCAGGACCCCCAGGCTAGGCACATCTTTGGCAGGATCAAAGCCCAGCACCTTGCCAAAGCTATGCAGGAACTCCACAATGGTCAAGCAGTCTGAGAAGGCCCCACTGGGCAATGTCAGACCAGGGACTCGTGAGAAGTCAGGCAGGGGCTAGAGAGATAAAAGTGTTCTGTTAAAATAAAACAGTTAACACTGTTTTATTTTTTAAAATAAAAGAGTTAACATTGTTTTATTTTTTAAAATAAAAGTTAACACTGGGGTTCTTCTTTTAATCTTTATGTAATTTTTTTTTTTTTTTTTGAGATAGGGTCTCACTCTTGTCACCCAAGCCAGAGTGCAGTGGCATGATCTCTGCTCACTGCAGCCTTGACCTCCTAAACCCAAGCAATTCTCCCACCTCAGTCTCCCAAATAGCTGGGACTACAGGTACATGCCACCACACCCAGCTAATTTTCATATTTTTTGTAGAGATGAGGTCTCGCCATGTTGCCCAGGCTGGTCTTGAACTACGGGACTCGAGCAATCTGCCCGCCTCAGCCCTCCCAAAGTGCTGGGATTACAGGTGTGAGCCATGGCACCCGGCCTTCCTTTAATCTTTCATGGAAATGTTTCTCCCATTGCAGAAGTCCCTGTTTTTTTTTTAAAGGAAAGTCTTCCCAACTGACCCAGGAACTGTTACTCTCTCCTCACTACCTGGTGGTCAGTCAGACACATATCCTCTGTTGGCTTCTTCATTTCCTCCAAGATCATCTGTTGCCTCTGCCGTTCCTCCAAGCGCCTCTGTGTGGCCAGGGTCTTATCTGCTTTACAGGCTGGCTTGGCTTTGGCCACCTCCTCCTTTTCCTTCATTTTTACCTTCTCCTTCTTTTCCCTCTTGACTTTTTCCTTCAGTTTTTCCTGCTTTGTCTTTCCCTTTTCTTTCTCAGCCTACCCAAGGAAAAGAGGAACCAGGAGTGCCATAAAGATACCAGTTACTATCCTTCCCTGTTCCCAGTCCTCCCAACCTCACAGCCCAGAAATCTCACTATAAAACAAGACTGATGTACGTGTCTTGCAAAATCAGTTTAGTGGCTTCAAAATTATACTTGGCAAGTTTGTACATGCACCTACCTTGGATTTCTTCTTAGCTTCCTTCTGCTTTAAGCTCTTGGTCTCTTGTTTCCGCTTATTTCTGGCCTGTAAACCATAAGGGAAGTCATTTCTCCTCAAACTCTGAAAGCATCTCTGCTTGGGCTAGGATTCAAAAACAGACAAGGGTGCTGGGGAGGAGAGGTGAGAGATGGAATGAGGGGTTGGCAATGGATTAATTCTCTCACCCTAGAGATGCCCACGTTATTTTTGAACAAGCCCAATTCTCTAAATCAAGCGCAAGAAATTTCAGGGTAATGAAGATATACTGCTACACAGGGAGTGGTGGATGTGGGAGATGAAAATAAAACATGAAGTAGACTGTAGGAAAAATTAACCTACTGTGTCATCTCTCTGATGTCCCTCACCTGCCCTTGGATAGTAGTCTGACACTCTCCCCGTTGTACCTTCTGCCTCATCTTCTTCTTGCTTTTACCAATCTTTGCTTTATCTTCCTCATTTGATGTTTCTTGAGAGCAGAAAGAAAAATGAAACAAGTGAGGCAGGAAGGCAGTTCTCTAGCATCCAGGGCAACACATGCCTGTCTCAAAGCTGGCCTCCCAAGCAGTTCCCTGAATAATCTAGTTTTTTTTTTTTTTTTTTTTTTTTTAAGTATACATAATAAAACATTGGGGGGAAAAATGTAGGAGAGGCACCTGCTATGGGTGTGGCACAAAGAACTCAAATGACATCTGCCCAGAAGCACCAGCCCCTGGCTCCAATCAGACTGCTTTACAAGGTGTCCTGCTGATAGAAAAGAGGCCACAATGGCAGAGTAGCCTTGTAGCCAATCTCTATCCCAGGATACCTGACAAGAGCAGCAACCCACAGACTGATTTTAGAGCAGAGAGCAGAGAAAGGATATAGCAAGTCGAACTGTCAGGGAAAGAGGGTAGTAGTTAGAAGCACTGATTAACCAAGGATGTGCCGGAAAAAAGCCCACACAGCGGACACCTCAAAAGAATCAGATCAACATTGACATAGCTATTGATCATGCTCAATTCCATGTCTTGCTTCACTAAAAGTTCTGAATTTCTTCCTTCCGGAAGACTTGTGGAAGTATAATTCTGCAAGCAATAGAGTATTTCATAATTGATGTTTCTGACATGACTGTCTCTCTCTATATATATATGTATGTGTATATATGTATATGTGTGTGTGTGTGTGTATATATATACAGACACGGAGTCTTGCTCTGTCGCCCAGGCTGGAGTGCAATGGCACAATCTCGGTTCACTGCAACCTCCGCCTCCCAGGTTCAAGCCATTCTCCTGCCTCAGCCTCCTGAGTAGCTGGGACTACAGGTGTGTGGCCACCACGCCCTGCTAATTTTTTGTATTTTTAGTACAGGAGGGGTTTCACCGTTTTAGCCAGGACGGTCTCGATCGCCTGACCTCATGATCTGCTGGTCTCAGCCTCCCAAAGAGTTGGGATTACAGCAGTGAGCCACCGTGCCCGGCCCTGACATAACAGTATTTATTAATTTGTTTCTGGTATAGAAACGCCACCATATGTCTACATGACAACCCTTTAAGACAATTACGGGCAGATGAACTACCTAAGGCTTTGAATAAAATATGAGACTTGACCGGGTGCAGTGGCTCACGCCTGTAATCCCAGCACTTTGGGAGGCTGAGGCAGGTGGATCACCTGAGGTCAGGAGTTCGAGACCAGCCTGACCAACATGGAGAAACCCCATCTCTACTAAAAATACAAAATTAGCCAGGTGTGTTGGCACATGCCTATAATCCCAGCTACTCTGGAGGCTGAGGCAGCAGATTCGCTTAAACCTGGGAGGTTTTAACTAGGGAATCGCTGAAACCTGGGAGGTTGCGGTAAGCCAAGATCGCACCATTGCACTCCAGCCTGGGCAACAAGAGCAAAAATCCATCTCAAAAAAAAAAAAGAAAAGAAAAGAAAAAAAGGTCAGGTGTCGTGGATTACGCCTGCAATCCCAACATTTTGAGAGGCCGAGGCAGGTGGATCACAAGGTCAGGAGACCGAGACCATCCTGGCTAACATGGTGAAACCCTGTCTCTACTAAAAATACAAAAAATTAGCCAGGCGTGGTGGTGGGCGCCTGTAGTCCCAGCTAGGAGGCTGAGGCAGAAGAATGGCGTGAACTCAGGAGGCGGAGCTTGCAGTGAGCCAAGATCGCGCCACTGCACTCCAGCCTGGGTGACAGAGTGAGACTCCGTCTCAAAAAGAAAAAAAAAAAAAGAGACTTGTTCTAGGTCATTTGGTTGAAACATGACAGAGCTACATGTCTGAGTGAGAATCAAAAGACTAAGTTTTTTCACATTCTTCACACTACACCAGGGTAAACACACTATTTACTGAAAAATTTAGGTATTTCTCACCCGTCCATCCACTAAAACAGTGCTTCTTCTTCTTCTTCTTCTTCTTATTATTATTATTATTATTATTATTTTGAGATGGAGTTTCACTCTTGTTGCCCAGGCTGGAGTGCAATGGTGCGATCTCAGCTCACCGCAACCTCTGCCTCCCGGTTCAAGTTATTCTCCTGCCTCAGCCTCCGGAGTAGCTGGGACTACAGGCATGCACCACCACGCCAGCTAATTTTTTTTTTTTTTTAATAGAGATGGGGTTTCACCATGTTTGCTGGGATAGTCTCAGTCTCTTGACCTCATGATCTGCCTGCCTTGGCCTCCCAAAGAGGTGGGATTACAGGCGTGAAACACTGTGCCTGGCCTATTATTTTTTTTAGAAACAGGGTCTTGCTGTGTTGCCCAGGTTGGAGTGCAATAACACAACTGCAGTTTACTGCAGCCTCCAAACTCCTGGGCTCAAGTGATCCTCTCCTGCCTGCCTCAGTCTCCTGGGTAACTGGGATTATTAGGCACACACCACCATGCCTGGCTCCCAATTATCTTTTAAATTCAGATGTGAATTCTGAACTTCCATGATCGTAAAAATGAGTAAGGTAGGAGGGTACAACTGAACCAGTATAAGATAAGGAGCTAAAAGATGGAAAGAAAGGGCAAGAAAGTCCTCTCCTCTGGGCTAAACACATCTGGGGACAGCCCAGGGTTTCACTGGTAGCAGCAACTCAAGAAAGAGTATGGCTGGAAAAGAAGCATTCCCAAGCGCTGGGACTATGATGCTGGATTCCAAAGAGAAGCTGATTCAGATTCGTTCTTCCCAGATAATGTTAGTCACGCTCCTGGGAAATCCAGGTATTAGCAATTCATCAACATTTTAGATACCTCACGGAGGAAGCCGAATTCCAAAGTAAGAAACACCACTGTACCTTGGGCCTCCAGTTTCTTTAGGAGGCGGTTGTCTGTCTTGTCCAACAGCTCAGTAATTTTGACCTTAGGTGGCCGACCTCGGCCCCGTTTCACCTTGGGGACTTCCTTAGTCTTAGTCTTCTCAGTGTTTCGAGGTCGACCCCGTTTGCCAGTAATTGCCTGAATCCTCGATGGGATCTCCTCTGCTGAGAGCTGCACCCACTGCAAGCCCTAAGGTAGCAAGGGAGACTGTTACAGTAGGAAGGAATCGGTGCAGGCCACTAGACCGTCGGAACCATTCAATGCCCCAGAACCTTCAAACCCCACAAGAGGAAGCTGCAGCTTGTCCACCAACTCATCCTCAGGGACAAAAGCATATTTAACCCTTAGGTCTGCACCTCTGGCGTGTCTCTTTCTTCAAAGAAATCTCCAACAGGCATACGGGGACTGAAGCTGAAGTGCTCACGGCGGACACTGTGTACCACATTGCGGCTCAGGTACTAAGAGGAGGAAGTAAAGTAACATTAATAAAGCTGGAATCCTACCATGTATTTGGTCAGCAAAGGCTCAAGCAGAACAGACCCAGAGCAGACAATGGCAGCCTGTTGCCACTGAGCCCAAGAACGGAGTCTTAGGCAGTGGAAAGGAGTCCACTGAGCCCAAGAAAGGAGTCCTTTAAAAAAAAGCTACATTACCTTGATCACTTCTGGAAATTGCTTCATCCTCTTCCCACAGGGGCCATAATACCAGGTCTCCCCTTGCCATCGGTGGCTGCCCTTCTTGATGCGCACCTCTCTCCGCCACCTGCCAGAGAAGCACATGGGCCCTGCCGCCAGGTCACACCCCTACCCACTCCCATGCCACCTAAGAGCCAAGCCCTCTGAGCAGATGGCCCTCCCCACATTTGTATCTCTAGAACTGCATGCAGATGCAAAAGCACCAACAGAGATAAGCTTGGATAGAAGGCTGACTTAAGCTCCAGCAAATACACCAAGGTCCTTAGGAGAAAAGCAATATACCAAACTGCACAAGCTCAGAGATCTCCACCCCCCTTTACAAAATCAGTGAGATAAGCAGTCAGAAACCCCTCCCTGAGCCATTCAGGGCAGTTACTGGATTTCCAGTAAAGAGGATAAAGACCTAAGGGGAATAAAAGCAGAAGACAAAAGACAGGGAGGCAAGCAGAAAAGTAAATTTGCTGCTGACTCCATGAAAAGACTCAATATGCCAGGGTTTAGTTAGGAACTCTGTGTTCTGAGCAATATTATTCTAAGACTAACTCTAATCTTTCTCTCAAAATTTTAAGCAGTACTCAGACTTGGTGACCACAAGTAGCCTTGAAGGGGAGGGGTGGGGAAGATCCAGGAAGGCAGTTATTTCCACAAGGCCCTGGTGTCAGCTAGTTTGTTCCTTTTGGTCATGTACTGTTCCTGCCCTCACCTCTCCTAAGAGCATTAAAACAACAAAACCACCTCAATTCATTAGTACTAAGTCGCTCCTCATTCATTACTATCCCTTCTCTACAGAAATAGGACAAGCCAGCTAGTTTGGATGTAAGCCCTAGGGTTTGAAAAAGATAATAGCTGGAGCTCCTTGGGCAAAATTGAGTCACTACAAGATGAAGAAAGAATAGGTGATGGAAGATAGACCTTGAGAGAAGACGGAAAACCTAGGAATCTCATGCCAAGAAACATTATCACTGCAGATAACTGTCCTGTAATCTACTCTTGTATGGCTCATTCCTCCCCCATCTCAGAGGAAAAGAGGCATTCCCTCCTTTCTAGAGTTGTGCATTAAACTTGTCAAGGTCAATAAATGTAGCAAACTAGAGCATTTACCCATGTTGGAGGGGAAGACGAACTTCTTCTGGGGTAGCAATACGTCTCCTCATGACATCACCTTGGGAGGAAGGGATACCCAAGTTAAGAGTTCAAGCAAAATATTTAAACAATAGACCAGCAGGGAAAGGCTAACTGCAACATGGGACAGAAAAGTTTCTTGTAACCAGACAGGGATAGAATAGAATCTGGATACTCACCACTACTAGAAGTAGTGAGTTCCTCTCCAGTGATCTCTTCCAGGTCAGCAGTGGTTTCTAGGAAGCTGCTGGCATCCTTATTTGCTGGGGAGGCTGTTGGAAAGGCAGCTGCTGGGGAAGTTACAGGAGAGGCTTTTGGGGATGTCACTGAAGCCGTCAAGGGGACTTCTGAGGAAACTGCTGGGAGGACTGCTGAGGAAGCTGGAGAGACCACTGAGAAGACTGCTGGAGAGACAACTGTAGAAGCTGCGGGACAAACTTCTGGAGAGATTTCTGGGGAGGCTGCTGGAGAAACCACTAGGGAGACTGCTGGGGAGGTTGTTGGCGAGACTGCTGGTGAGGTTGCTGGATGTAGCTGAATAGTGGATGACTGATCAGGAGCTGGCTGGGTCAGAGATGGTGGGAAGTCTGAAGACTGAGTTTCCATTTCCTCCTGTTCAGCGTCACTACCATTATTCAGGTCAAAGCTGTTATCTAGAATCCAAAGGGACAGGATAGGCTTTAAAAAAAAAAAAGGCATCACATAAAACAAGAGAATCTACTCAGTCAAACCTGGACCAAGCTAAACAGGGTTACTTCAAGGGGTCTTCCCTAGGGTTGGAAAAAGTAGCAGCTTTTTCTCCCAACCAATCACGAAGCTTAAAGGGTAAAGATGCTACAGATGTCACTGTGTGAAGAAATACCTTTTACCTGGTGCCAGTAAAGGCTCTGGCCTCCTTCTCCCTACAAATTCCAAGTCTCACAAGCTCTTCAAAGCAGAGGGCACAGGTCAGAGTATAGCAGTCTGTGCCTCTTTTAGTCCCACCATACACTATCCCATAGCCCCTCAGCTCCCAGCAAGTGCTTTCCCACTTTTTTTTTTTTTTTTTGAGATGGAGTCTCGCTCTGTTGCCTAGGCTGGAGTGCAATGACACAATCTCAGTTCACTGCAACCTCCACCTCCCAGGACCAAACGATTCTCCTGCTTCAGCCTCCCAAGTAGCTGGGATTACAGGCGCGTGCCACCACACCTGGCTAATTTTGTATTTTTAATACAGGCGAGGTTTCACCATGTTGGCCAGGTGGTCTCGAACTCCTGATCTCAGGTGATCCGCCCACCTCGGCCTCCCAAAGTGCTGGGATTAGAAGTGTGAGCCACTGCGCCCGGTCAGATTTCCCACTCTTAAGGCCCTAACTGTGAAACTTATTCTCTCATCTTTCTTTGTCCTACCTACCCTCACTTACCTTGCAGGACAGACTCCCCTAGGACAGGTGGAGAGGTGGGACTGGCAAAGATAGAGGCTGATGTTTGACTATCATCTGCCAGGAGACTGAAGGCAGTAGCATTATTGAGGGAAGGGCAATCAAGGGCAGAAATCACAGGGCTGTCCTCAAGAGGCAGCTTGTCCTCTGCACCCATTAGCTCTGTGTCATCAATACCATATAGTCCTCCACTCACTGGCTCTGTTCACAAGGGTAGAAAAATCAGAGCAGGATAATGAGAAAAAAAATCAGAAAGCAAGACTTAAGAAACACTGGTCAGAAAATATCCAATTCTAGTTCCCACAGTGTGAAGATTCTTCCTAATATTAAATTAGGTAACAACTAAAGCCTTCTCCCTGAAAGAGTAGTCATGAGATTGTAGGGATCATAAAAGTTTGAGGGGAGGCCAAGGCAGGAGAATTGCCTGAGGCCTGGAACTCAAGACCAGCCTGGGCAACATAGCAAGACCTCATCTCTACAAGATGAAAATGGAAGGAAAGGCATTGGTGGTATTATCTACCCAGAGACCTATGCAAAATTCTAGGATTTATCATAAAATATGTCTTTCTTGTACTTCAGTGGGGTAAAAGGTAACTGCTCACTGACAAATGTTTCCTTCCTAGTTTGTTAGAACCCAGAAAGATCAACTGTGTGGTAATAAGTCCCTATCCAGTGAATTATTACAGCCCAGAGCTCTTGGCCAAAAGTAATACTGGGAAATAACCTGGGACATAAACCAATTCAGCTCAGAGTTCAGTTAGTGCAACAAGGCCAGTGGCATGTAACTGTAGTCTGCCTTAGGCCTACCTGGAAACCCCAATGCCCTGGATTCCCTAATACTTTTCCCATTTTACTGTCTCTTTCAGGTAAAGGTTGGCTACTGTGCATGGATAAATTAAACGGGGCCAGCCTCCAAACCTACCTGGTGCCAGAGAGTTGAAGGGCTCCAAAGAGTCTTCACTGAGGATTGGAGTGTCTTCCAGTTGATCAGGAAGATGTGAAGGATCATCTAAACAACTCACTGTGGGGTCAGGGACCAGGACTGAGACCTCTTGGTGTAACGATTCCACAGAAGGGACAGAGCCATTGTAGCCACACATCTTCAGTTCTAGGAAATCCCAGGAGAGACCAAAAGTCAAAATCAGTGCCTTATATTGGTTCATTTAGCTATATTAGGCAGTCAGTCTTTGCTAGAAGGATGTTCATTCATTCAACATTTATTGCGGCCAGTTCTTTGCTGGGAACCGATCACATCAAGATACTCTGAGCAGAGAGGTACTGGTAAAATCAATCCTACAGCAGGCAAAGAGAGGAAAAGAGAGTGGGGTCTGAGATAAGATCTTTATCATGTTCTCAGATATCTCCCCCATCCAGTGGGAAACAGAGAAAACATCCTGTAATTATACAGAGTGGTGATTACCCTTGTATCAGGAATCAACTGGAAGCTAAGCTTCTATCTATTTTGAGGGAAAAGATGAGAGGGGCTGTCACATGTACTAATGCTAAACAACAAAAAAAGGAAACTGAGTAGACAAATAATGATATGCTCTGCCTGCTTCCTTCCCTCCTTCGTATGCCAATCACTACATTGGGCTCAGACGACTTTAGCAGCCAGTCTGCTCCTGCCACAGTTAGTTAAAACAGCCTCAATGCTCACTGCTAGACCCTAACCACTTCATATATTTTGAAAGAAGCCTTTCTTGATGCAGGGTGTCTGTTGGGGCTGTTTCGGGCTCGCCCACCTGCCCTCTCCAGGCCAGAAGCTCTGCATGAGCTTGAAATAATTTGCACTCCCACTCCCGAGCTGGTGCTGCTGCCACAAAAACACCAGCCACTTGGCTCTGCTAATTGCTAATCACCAACATGCAAATCAGCCTCCACTGCAGAGAGCTGGAAAGACAAGTTTTCCTCACCTCAAAAAGCCACTATCCCCCCCAGCTCCATTTTCCCTTTCCCCACCCAGTTCACCAACCCAGTTATACCTGGCTGCTCTTCTTCCAGCTCCAGGCTGCCTACCAAGCCAGTGCCATTCTCTGCCACAACTGAAGTCATCTCCTTTTCTGCTGCCTCATCAGGGTGGATATCACTGCCTACCTCCTGGGAGGGTGCAAAGGTTTGAATGCTAGATCCCAACATAGGAGAAGTCTGTGGGGAGGTGAAAAAACTAGGGGGTCCATTGGGCATCACCTCAAAATTCTGGTCAGGAAAGGAATCATACAGTTCTTGTGAATCAAAGTTAAGCCCCATGGGACTCTGGGTACCGTTGGCCCAGAACTCTTGGCTCCCAGCCCGAAGGTTAGTGTTGTGACTTGGGGATGAAGGTTGCCGGCTGCCCCCAAGGATGCCGTTGAGTGGGTATTGTCCCCCCGAGAACTGGGAGAGAAGGGGTGGGTCCTTGAGGTTGCTGCCAGAATTGGCAGATGGGTACTGTGAGTAGTTCCAGAGACAGTCGTAGGCCACGCTGGGGTGATGGAGGTGTGAGGTGCTGGAGGAGTGGGGAGCAGAGTTCAAAATCCCTGAAGTAGTAGTGTGAGATACAGTAGATAAGCCATTAACATTCACATCCCCATTCAAACCTGGCAGAGAAGGAAAGAAAAGGTCAGCTACAGATATGTAGGCAAGCAACTCTACCAAAACAAACCCAAAGTAATAGCACTGACTAGAAAAAGACATGGTAAAGGAAAAGGGGATTCCTCCCCTGCTATATCCAGTTTTTGGGTCTCTGGAGAACACCAAGCCCAGAGGCTCCTGGATGTAGGCTTAGCAACTGCTGCTGAGGCTGCTGAGTAGGGGGCTGGAGAGCGCTCCAGGCCTGCCATGGGAGCCACCAGCAGAGCTGGATGCTGCTGCTTACTACTGGCTTTTTTTTGTGGTTTATTTTTTGTTTGTTTGTTTTGAGATGGAGTCTCACTCAGTCGCCAGGCTGGAGTGCAATGGCGCAATCTCGACTCACTGCAACCTCCGCCTCCCGGGTTCAAGTCAATTCTCCTGCCTCAGCCTCCCGAGTAGCTGGGACTACAGGCGCCCACCACCAGGCCCGGCTAATTTTTGTATTTTTAGTAGAGACGGGGTTTCACTGTGTTGGCCAGGATGGTCTCGATCTCTTGCCCTCGTGATCCACCTGCCTCGGCCTCCCAAAGTGCTGGGATTACAGGCATGAGCCACCATGCCTGGCCTTTTTTTTGTTTTTAATTAAATGAAACTGTTTGCAGACTCCCTACAGTGACTTGCGTTCTGCCCTACTCTCATTCCCTAGGGGATTTCTTCCCTTGGAGGGGCATGACTGAATTCTCCAGGGGCCCCCTTTCCCCAGTGCCTATTTGGCCCCACAGTGGCACCAAAAGGGACAACCTCCACCTCACTGGCACATGCAGATCCAGCACTTTGTGCTGGGCTAAGAATAGAATTTGTAGTCACCACAGCGACAAGAACCCAGCTCAGAAGGCTGGGCTTGGCCCTTCCCTATAGGCACTAGAAGGTAATATGCCAGCTGGGGCGAGGGAGACCTTTGCGTGCAGTGCTGTCGAATTCAGCTATCAACATCAATGGCAACCTCTGGAATGGAGGACAATCAATCAAAAAGAACCAAGATATTAAGGAAGCTTGAGAGGTAGGGTGGAACCCAATGAAATAAAGGAGCTTCTACCATCTGCAACCCTTTTGGAGAGGATAGGAGGGAGAAGCAGCAGTATTTTTCTGCTGCAAGAAAGGAAGGAAGCATGTGGGCTTCTCTCTGCTTCCCAGTATAAAGGACCTGAAACCCAAGCAAGATTATAGAGGTACCTGGCGAGTCATGGCACAGAGCAACTGGTAAGCCAAATCCAGGAAAAGACCCAATCCTGGCAGCAACACCTCCATATGGAATTATGAACTTCTCTCTGGGGAACTAGGTAAGCACTAAACTTTCCCTTGTCCCTACCTTCCATCCAAGGACAGAAGGTGGAATAAGTACTTATAGCATCTGCCTTTCTCTGATGTACAAACTAAAAGGCAATACACTGCAACTTGCACTTCATTCAACTCTCAGTACTGGCCCAGTGTAGCTCCCTAACCTCTAAAAACAGCTTCTTAGAAGGCTAGTCCTTTATCTCTCTCATGAGTCCAACCTGGTTAGCAGCAGCAGTAGCCACCTCACCGCTCTGTCAGCAGCCAGGGGAACAGGGCTGACAGAAGAACAGGCTAAGATGAAAAAGCCATTGGGTTTTCCTAACCTCTTTCAACCTTAAGTCAATTAAAAAAATGTTTGCAAAAAACCCTAGAACTTGTTCATAGAAGTTGATTTCCCTCCAGCAGCTAGACCAAAGTGAAGCAAAATAATCCCCCATGAATCCGCCCTTAAGGGTTGATGCCCATTCCCTCCCCAGGCCAAGCAGCCCTCACACTCACTTTTCCCTTGCTGGGGGAAGTTCATGGGAGACCCGTTAGTGTAGAGGCCCTCCCCTGAGGAAGGAGAGGGTTTCAGTCCTGAGGCAGCAGGTGCAGGGGGAAGGCCAGTAAAGTTAAAATGGTCGTTTGCCTCCATTTCTGCAGGAGGGGAGAGAGAGGGGGAAAAAATACTGGCGGTTAAACAAGGTTATGTCACCTGGAATCTTCCAGGGGGAATGACCCCTCCCCTCCACCTACTTACCCTTCTCCTACCTAAGTACTTCGTGAGGGAAAGTACAAGCTAAGAAAAGAGAAGGAGAAAATACGCCCCAAGGCTGAGCAATGACCCTAAGAAAATAGTCTTTTAAAGCCAGCTTTGGTGATTAAAAAACAAAACGAGTTAGCGAGAAAAACCAAGATACAAGCCTGGAGTTTTCCCTCTGTGTAAGCTCCACTCAGCCCAGGTTACCCTTCTATATTAGATATTAGCCCTCTACTGTAACACTTAACATTCTCCATCCTTTTGTTTTTATCCTCAAGGTAAAGTCTCCTTCCCAGGCCCACAAAAGGTTCTCAAAGCCATCTTTTTGAGAGAAAAGCATACTTGATAAACACTCTTTGTTTCATTATTAAACTTGAGCTAAACATAATTTCTGATTATCCTATCCATAGCCCTAGACATCTCAAGATAGTAGTTACATTAGTAAAGGGATTTGAAAAGGAGAATACATTTCAGAAAGGTGATCATAATGGCAAACCTCAAATCAACCAGCAATAATTCTACTCTTTATGCTCCCCAAGAACATGGGTCAGAAAAATGTCAGCAGTGAAAAATTGATTAAATATCAGGGTGTCCCAAAAAATATTATTCTGTTATGTCTATTATGGTTATTTCCTAATATTTTAGTTTTGTGACTTAAATATAAAGAAAGAGTCACAGAGAAAATAGCAAGATACTTATATTTGTAAAGTGCAATGGCTCATTGAGGTATGGTTAAAAAGTTTTTCACCCAGGCCGGAAGCGGTGGCTCAAGCCTGTAATCCCAGCACTTTGGGAGGCCGAGGTCAGGAGATGGAGACCATCCTGGCTAACACGGTGAAGCCCCGTCTCTACTAAAAAATACAAAAAACTAGCCGGGCGAGGTGGCACATGCTACTCGGGAGGCTGAGGTAGGAGAATGGCGTAAACCCGGGAGGCAGAGCTTGCAGTGAGCTGAGATCTGGCCACTGCACTCCAGCCTGGGCAGCGGAGCGAGACTCCATCTCAAAAAAAAAAAAAAAAAAAAAGGTTTTTCACCCTTTCTGAATACTACTAATAATGATGAGAAGCCCTTGATCAGAATGAATTTAACTTTGATAGAGGAAAGGAAAGAAAGTAAACAGAAGCCAGAATTGTTGCTCAAGTCTAACGTATCAATCGGATTCTTGTGATATCCTAGTGCATACCAACTTGATATGTGAGAAACGTAATCTGTCTTGATACAGAAAAAGCAACTCCTGAATTATGTTATTACATTTTAAAAAAGAGAAGAATTCAGGCCAGGTGCGGTGGCTCATGCCTGTAATCCCAGCACTTTGTGAGGCCGAGGTGGGTGGATCACCTGAGGTCAGGAGTTCGATACCAGCCTGACCAACATGGTAAAACCCTGTCTCTACTAAAACTACAAAAATTAGCTGGGTGGTAGTGGGCGCCTGTAATCCCAGCTAGTCAGGAGGCTAAGGAAGAAGAATCACTTGAACCCGCAAGGCAGAGGTTGCAGTGAGCCGAAATTGCACCACTGCACTCCAGCCTGGACGACAAGAGTGAAACTCCATTTCAAAAACAACAGAATGAATACACTGGTTAAATACATATATGATAGGCCTGGCATACTGGCTCACACCTATAATCCCAATACTTTGGAAGCCAAAGCAGGAGGACTGTTTGAGGCTACGAGTTTGAGACCAAGCTGGATAACATGGTGAGACCGGTCTCTACAAAACATTTTAAAAGTAGCAGGGTGTGTGGGCGTGGTGGCTCACACCTGTAATCCCAGCACTTTGGGAGGTCAAAGCTGGCAGATCACCTGAGGTCAGGAGTTCGAGACCAGCCTGGCCAACATGGTGAAATCCTGTCTCTACTAAAAACACAAAAATTAGCCAGGCGTGGTGGCGGGCACCTGTAATCCCAGAGGCTCGGGAGGCTGAGACAAGAGAATTGCTTGGACCCAGGAGACGGAGGTTGCAGTGAGTGGAGATCGTGCCACTGCACTCTAGCCTGGGGAACAAGAGCGAGACTTCATCTTGAAAAAAAAAAAGTAGCAGGATGTGGTGGGGGCACACCTGTGGTCCTAGCTTACTGGAGAGGGTAAGGCAGAAGGATCACTTGAGCCCAGGAGGTCGAGGCTGCAGTGAACCATGATCATGATCATGCCACTGTACTCCAGCCTGGGTGACAGAGCATGACCCTGTCTCAAAAAAAATAGAATATATATATATGCCCACTGGCCAAAGTCTGCAAGAGTCACATTCATAAACATGCTACATTACTACAAATTAGACACCACTAGTATAAATGTGAATATAGCATAATTCTGAGCATGAAATATAAACTCTGCATAGTATGTGCGAATTGTCTGTATCTTAATCAATTTTAACTGAAATTTTAAAAATAAAAATAGGCCAAGCATGGTGGCTCATGCCTGTAATCCCAGTGCTTCAGGAGGCCGAAGCAGGAGGATCGCTTGAGGTCAGGAGATCAAGACCAGCCTGGGAAACGCAGCAAGGCTCTGTCTCCACAAAAAATAAAAAAGTTAGCTGAGCATGGTGATTCCTGCCTGTAGTCTTGGCTGCTCAAGGAGGATGAGGCAGGAAGATTACTTGAGCCCAAAAGTGCAAGTCTAGCCTATGTACCATAGCAAGACCCTATCTGTACAAAATAAAAGCAATTTGCATTTTGTTGATTTAAGGGAGAAAGTTTTTAGGACTTACTCATCTCCCATATAGGATATCTCATCTTTAGTCTAAATAGGGGTATCCAATCTTTTGGCTTCCCTGGGCCACACTGGAAGAAGAATTGTCTTGGGCCACACATAAAATACACTAACGATAGCTGATGAGCTTAAAAAAAAAAAAAAAAAATCACAAAAAAATCTCCATGTTATGTTTTAAGAAAGTTTACAAATTGGCATTGGGCCAGATTCAAAGTTGTCCTGGGTGGGTTGGACAAGCTTGCACTAAATTAAGTAGCACACCTAAACCTGCCATGCATCAATGAAAAAACGGAGTCTTTACAGTGAAAAGACCCCAGGTTAGCCAGGCATGGTGGTGAGCACCTGCAGTCCCAGCTACTTGGAAGGCTGAGGCAGGAGGATCTCTTGAGCCTGGGAAGGGGAGATAGCAGTGAGCCAAGATCATGCCATTGCACCCCAGCCTGGGTGACAGAGCGAAACCCTGTCTTAAAACAAAAACAAAAACAAAAAGACACGGTCCTCCAGGATTTCCCCCCCCTTTTTTTTTTTTTTTTTTTTTTGAGACAGTTTCCCTCTTGTTGCCCATGCTGGGGTGCAAGGGTTCGTGATCTCGGCTCACTGCGACCTCCGCCTCCCAGGTTCAAGCAATTCTCCTGCCTCAGCCTTCCCAACAGCTGGGATTACAGGCACCCGTCAACACGCCCAGATAATTTTTTGTCTTTTCAGTAGAGACAGGGTTACACCATGTTGGCCAGGCTGATCTCGAACTCCTGACCTCAAGTGATCCACCCACCGCGGCCTCCCAAAGTGCTGGGATTACAGCCGTGAGCCACTGCGCCCGGCCAGGATTTCCCTAGTATAGTTAGCAGTTACTCCTCAGCAGTAGGGGGTCTGAAAAATAAGCATCATGAGATTAATAATCCTTCTGAAGTGCAAGAATGAAAGGAAAGTTCATTCCTTAGTCTCTAGTTAGGTTCCTTCCAAAGCCTGTACCACAGAGCAAGGAGGACATTCAATACTTCACTTCAGAAGTTCTGGAAATACTATGCCTAGAGGGCCAATTTCATCTGCTCCTCACCTCTCCTCTCCCCAGTTTTTTGCACACCTCCCTTGGTGTAGAAGACACATGCAACTTCCGTCCTATGTGCAGTGAACTATATCCTCCTCAATGATGGGTCACAGTTCATTTTTGCATTCTCTATTTGAATCCACGAAAAAAGTTGTGACCACCTTATCTGCTGCTCTGGAAAAGCACAGCATATCCTGGTTTTTGTAAGCATTAATAACAATATGTGGATGGCTCACAGAAATCAGAGAAGTAAAACGAATGGGAAGTTATCTGGTATTTGAGATCGGTTTCTCTACCTGTCTCTACTGAACTGTCATCAGAACCACAACCACTTCATTTACAAGAAGCTTCCTAGACGCATAATATTGTCTTTGTGCTGTGCAATGTGGTCAGCATAATGTAGTGGGCTCTAGGTTCAAATCTCAACTCTATTTACTAGCTAGCTGTTTAACCTTGGACAAGTTACTTACACTTGCTGGGCCTAAGTTTCATCATCTGTAACAATTTTTGTACCCACTTTCAGGACTGGTGAGGATTAAATGAGAAAATCTAAATTAGAGCCCCAGCACAGTGTCTGTCATCCAGCAAGCACTTCATAAACATTAGCTTTTTTTTCTTCTTGAGACAGAGTCTCACTGTCGTCCAGAGTGGAGTGTAGTGGCATGATCATAGCTCATTGCAGTCTGGAACTCCTGGGCTCCAGTGATCTTCCTGCCTCAGCTTCTCAAGTAGCTAGGACTATAGGCACTCACCACCACACCTGGCTAATTTTTAAATTTTTTTGTAGACACAGGGTCTTGCTATGTCGCCCATGATGCTCAAATTCCTGGACTCAAGCAATTCTCCCACCTTGGCCTCCCAAAATGCTGGGATTACAGGCGTAAGCCACCTCACCAGGACTATGTTAGCTACTATTATTAGACAAACAGTAAAAGACTGTGCAGTTTCCAAAAAGATAATCAGGCCTGGCCGGGCGCAGTGGCTCATGCCTATAATCCCAGCACTTTGGGAGGCCAAGTCGGGTGGATCACCTGAGGTCAAGAGTTCGAGACCAGCCTGGCCAATATGGTGAAACACCATCTCTATTAAAAATAAAAAAAATTAGCTGGGTGTGGTGGCGGGCACGTGTAAGCCCAGCT